GAGAGAGAGAGAGAGAGAAAAAAAGCTGAGAAAGGGACAACCTGAAGGTTTTTCTTTTGGCGATGTAGTGCCCGCCGCGCAAGTTCCGACCGATATAATTGTATAATTAATACGTAATTAATACGAAATAACAGTTTTTAAGACTCGCCGCGCAACAAATTCCATAGAGCCTTTATCGTAATATTGCCTAGATAAATTCATCACGTTAGATGCGTTCCAGATTATTTAAAATGTGTAGTCGATTTCATATAGCTTTAAATATTTTTTTACAGAGAATAGTAAATTACTAGCACATAATTAAAATTCTTTGCATATTTGTAGGAAGAATTTATAAACTTGTGCCAAACATACGAGAACAACATTCATTATACAACGAGATAAAAATAGCATAGCATCGTTACTAATAGGACAAATTATTTTTAATAATTATTTTAAAGACTCATTTTAGCATTGTTTTCAAATATGAATTGAATCAATATGCTTTTATTTGTGTTCTAAATTTTTATGTTTTTATATTAAAGAAAAATAAATAGCAAAATTGAATTTTACGGAATCAATTTAACAATATATATATATATATATATATATATATGTTTCTTTTATTTTAATTATTCTTTACCAATTTAAACTGTAATTTTATTATAAAACATTCAATGAGAAATAATTAAAGAGTATTTTCCGTATTAAAAGTAATATTTCAAAACTTTGAGCGTTTTTGATAATTTACCTTGCCAAATCTTAATTATGATTCTGATTTTGCCATATATTCAATAAGAATGAAAGTTGCGTAAGGATATTTTCACCATGCTCGATTATATCAATTTTATCCAAAATAATCGAATTTGACATCTGACAGAAACGTTTTATTTTTATTAGTCGTGATCGAATAAATGTTTATATCGCTCTCCATAAGAGAGAGAGAGAGAGACTTGAAATTATTCATATTAATCTAACAGAGGACGATCTTACCAAATTTAATGATCGTCGGCGATGGGCATTCGAATTAGACATATAATGACACAAATATATATTAACTAATTAATATAAATAAATTATTTAATATATATATCGTGAATTAAAATCGATACGCGGATATTCTTGCGCTGCGTTCATTACGTCGTTAAGTTTCGCGGCACTAACAATATAACGGGCCAAAACTGCCGTGGGGCCCATGGGACGACGGTAGGGAAAGAGAGGAAATAAAGAAAAATAATGTATTGTGACACGAAGTTCCATCCATAATAAATAAATGAAAATATTATACAGTTAGGCCGACTTTTCCGCCAGTTCGTGCCTTTTTTCTGCAGGGAGAAAGAGAGAGAGAGAAAGAGAGAAAGAGAGATAGAGATAGAGTGCAGTTTTGGGAATCCGATTATCTAATAATATATGCTACGATGTAATGCGATCGTATGTAATGAGAGACAGAGAGGGAGAGAAAGAGAGAGTGCGAACGAGAAAGAGTGAAAGAGAGAGCAAAAGAGTAAATTAGTCAGTTTAAAGAATAAAAATATGAAAAATAAATCGATAGGAAAAAAAGAACGAGGAAATTGCAAGAGACTGGAAACACAAGACCTAACGCGCGGATAAAGAACGAAAAAACATACTATAAATGCAAAAAAACACTGGATTATTTCATAATATATATTTTCGAAGAACGCTGCGGCACTCGTATTCTCGCGACTAAAAAGAAGTAGTAAAATTACAAAAAACCGAGAAGTGGAAGAAGACAAATGCGTGCAAATTGCACTGTTTAGGAACACTGTGCAAGTGAAAAAGGAGAGAGAAAGAGAGCGAAAGAGAGAGTGTGTGAGGAGGAGAGAAAACTATAGCAATTGTTGAACATTCGTTAAATTGTCCTCGTTTCACGATGTAATAAAAGCTATTTTACTTTGACGCCCCGCTGTTTCGTTTTTTATTCGATGATTCTTGGATTTTTGGGATACCCAGTTTTATACCTTTTAGATCCTAAATTAGATTGGCTGAAGTAGAAGACTGCGACATGGATTATTACGGTTATTACGTGAAAAAATATCACATCTCAATAACGCGACGTGAAAGTGAAAGCGAAAAAATGCATGTGTAACGAAACATTATATTTTTATTCATATTATCACAATGTTTTTACATCCTCCCTGAGGTTTAACATTTTGTGACCCGAGCTCAAGTACAATTCGAGCATATTTACAAGTCAAAAAGTAAAGGAATTTTTTTGATTCCCAAATCGATTGAAAATGTCTCTTTACTTCTCAATTTACCCTTGCAATAAATAATATCAGCTTAATCTTTTCAAATTCTTAAGTAGATTATTAAACTTGGAAGCAAAAAAATTCAGTAATTTAATTTAATTTTTCAATTCAAAAAAGAATGTAATATAAACTGCTGTTGCACCAGACTTTTCGATTCTATTATCTTTGCTCTACATTCTTTTTGCAAATTAAACTCTACAACTTATAATCTTTAAGAACAACAGGCTCGAGTTTCAAAATGTTAACATTAACAGTAACAATTCCATCTAAATCTTACATGGCTAGTTTTAGACACTGAATATCCATCGCGTCGCCTTTGTATCTGTTCAGCTGCCTCAGAAGGTGCAGTTTTGGTTGTTTGCAGTGCGTCGTATGCAACTCATACGAGGTGCACATATTCAATAAGATCGGCTCTTGTAAACTCTTGAGCGGATTTCTATTGACGACGCTTTCAAATAACCATACGGCTGTTCTCAGCTGGCCGGTATACAACAAACACACCGCCATGTTATTAATCAACATAACGTTAGACGGATCCATCGCCGAAGCGGACTGGAAGTAACTGTAGGCTTCTTGAAAGGCGTTTTGAGCGACCGCCATTAATCCGCTATCTACCAATTCTCTGATGCTCGTTGTCTTTTCCTCCTTGTTGCTGCGAACGAAGAACTTTTCCGCCGCTGAGACGTCGCCGAGGAACAAATGCACCCTTCCTATGGCCGATCTCAAGATACCTATCTGCTCTGCGGTCCAATCAGGCAAATTGCACAGATTCTCCAGTATCTCTATCGCAAGAATATAGTTCCTCATGCTGATGGCACAATTAATGACAGAAATCAAGATTCTGGACTTCCTGGCGGTCCACAATTTCAGAGCGTCTCGTTGATCAGATTCGCTGATCTTTGCGTGCGTTCCTTCACCATTAAAACCAGCTTGGAAATTGGCTATAATTCGATTGACTGTTGCTAAGAGTTTATACAAATTGTCTAAGGCTTGTTTCGGTTTGCCGTAGTAAGACGGAATTTCGGCCAACAGTAATCTGAAGGCAAACGACGCCATGGAACCTGGTCTGGTGCCGTACAATTCCGGATAAAAAGTGAAATACATGTCGGGCTTGTCCAGATTGCCGAACGGCTTCGACTCGCTCTCCAGCACGTCCATCTGCCTCAATTTGGCCAACAACGAGAGTCTCGTATACCAGAGCTGCAGAGAATGAGGCGTGTGCTTGCTGGGCTGATTAATCTTGCCATAGCCTTGGGCGTAGATGGACAGCAATCTGCCTGACAAATTAACCGCCGCTCGATAGCAGCCAGCCTGTATTAAATTTCTTAGACCGCGTTCATCCTGCGTTACATCGGATGCCGTGCGCACATTTCGATGGATGTTTTCGTCCTCGCCCAGAAAGTGTATAGAAGCGTTCTTGATCAAATCTGGCATGTCACCCTGCACAGCAAGACCGGGCATGGTGAGATTCTCACGCTCCAGATGACTCGCGCCAGCTGCGGAAGTTGCAATGGATCGCAATATTTTTCGCGTATGCTCCGACGGTATCCACGTATCTCGGTGCGTGTCGCTCAACGCGCTGTGCTCAACTCGATCGACTACGGTGTCCAAAAGTGAAGCCGTGGATGCTTGTAAGACGTCCGCGTTGAAGAAGGAACTCGTTGATGCGCCATCGGACAAGGGATTATAATCCGAGACTTGGTTCGTAGAATGCGATTGTGTGTCAAAGAAATCAGGATTTTTACGCACGACAATGTCACTGAAAATCGTAGATGGTGCATTGTTGAAATAACGATTCATATCTATCTCTCCGATCTCTACATCCTCATTATTTGATTTAAGTGCCGTTGCGTTATTTCCTGCCATCTTTCATTCATGTAAATATTAGATTATTTTATTCCGTTGTCGAATGTGCATTTGCTAATTGGAAAATATTGTCATTAATTTTTAAATAATTATTGCTATCTTTCAACAGAAAATACCAACTCACGTTTAAGAGAATCGTCTAACTCAGAGTTGAAATTTTTCTTATTCTTTTATAGATATCTGTCTCCTCCTCCTTAGTATCTTATTCCTGTCCCAGGAAATTTGAAAAATTATTGTAGCAATTGTTGTTTTATATCATCAAATCTATCATCTCTTGGTGACAGTCATTGACAACAGGAAATTACTAAAATTGAGATGTGAGGTTATAGCTACTTTCCAATATTATATATGTATATTATGAGCGATTGCAGCGCTGCCTAAACTGAATATAGCGGAACTAAAAAAATCTGCGGGTGTTTGTAGCGCCGTTTAACGAGAAATGGCGGAACTAAAAAGCTGTAGGCGATCGTAGCGTCATGACGCAATATCTTAAAACTAAAAATATTACTAGCTAGATTTAATCTTATCTAAAGGTCGGAGCACAGACTTTTACATAAGGCATAAGGGAATCAACCAATCAGAATCTTTTATTTCCATCCCCACTTCTCATTCTACGGATCTCTGATTGGTTGATTCTCTTATGCATTATGCCTTATATAAAAGACTGTGCTCAGCCTTAAGGCTGGTTTTACAATAATGGCGAATTTCCACTGAGCGCATCACGCGTCGGCGTCATCCGTCGCGTCACGAATTAACCAATCAAAACATCCAATTTTATTCGCGCGGCAAATAATGCAATAAAATGGGATGTTTTGATTGGTTAATTTGTGACGCAATGGATGACGCGCGTGTGACACGCTCAGTGGGAATTTGTCATAAGTTGCAAATGCCCCGTCATCAGCCGCAAAGGATAGCAACTACTAATTGAAAAGCACTATGTCTAGTTATTTCTGGTAAGACGGAGTATTCACGACTGGTAACGGAACATTTTTAACTTATTGTAGAGCCTGCCGAAAAATAATAAATATATATTGGCCGCGTTCAGCGGACTCAACAGTTGGACAAAGTTACTAGATTTTCCGCTGAATGACGCTGTTAATTTGTTGGCTCTAAAAGTAAGAGCTAATCACGTTCGATTGCTACTAAACGGTTTGTTTCGCTGAATGCGCCCATTAAAAAATAACTGGCTACTCTCAAGGCTGTTGCCGTGTTTACATGAATTATAAAGGTAATATATAGTATTGCTTGATTCCGCATCATATATTTTTATTTTTTATGGCGATAAAGAAAAGACAAGGTTGTGTTAGATTACGGTATTTTGAAATCTCCGAACACGAGTAAAACGCCGTTATATGAATAATTACAAAGAAGATATAATTTTCGAAAAAGCATGAGAATTGTAATGAATAACGTTACATCAAACAAAGAAGTTTAAACTATGCTGAGCATTACCGCATAAAAACGAGTAACAGAACGAGTGGTAAGGATCTCGCATGCGTGAAGATTAAGCCGGCTTTAACGAACAAGATGATTGAAACCGACAAAAAGGGATACAATGAACTGCTAAACCAACGAATGCTCCTGGCGACCATCTCGAGTGTAACGCTGCAATTTTTTCTCGTCTGCTGCCTTGTTTTGTTCGCAAATCTAAGCATGGATTATACGCTCTGGCTTCAAGAAACATGGACAACCGTAACATCGTTACGAATGTGGGTTTATCTCGCCATTCTCACCACGGTGACCTGCGTACAGGCATTTCTGTGCAGAAAAATTTATTCGCACACCCCTCCATACTACAAGAGCAGATTTAGCAGACTATGTGCAACGCTTACGATACAAAACTTATTTCTGGAAGCATTGCATATCGTAATTGGTGGTATCTTGGTCTGGTTGCACTTGTCACTGAAAGGAGGAAAATACAGTTCTTCGATTACAGATTGCAATATCACATATGGAACATGCTTGGTAGAGGAGTACTATTTCTTGTTATTCAGTGGCTTGTGGAGTGGCTTGTATTTTTCTGTTAAGAACAAAGACTTTGCTGGGAAATATTTTCCATTTCCCATTACAGCGCAGTCCAAGTTTCTGCGTCTGAAGCAAAGAATTTATGCTATACTGCCGAAGTTGATGGTTTCCTCTATGTGGTCGACTATATATTACACAACTGTTTATTATTTTCTGGGATCTTACTGCCGTGCGGCATTATTGTCAGTGATTTTTGTGCAAACAGAAGTGGAACCTTTAGATACTGTGTCCAGATTGCTAAATCTGACATTGATATCACAATTATGGCTTCATCAATTTATATTTATACTGACGATAAGCAGCATCTACTTGTTATTCGAAGTATACTTGACTGAATGGGTTCCATTTAAATTCGATTACAGTGGTGCGTACAGTATAGATTCTACAGAATTAACTCTCATCGCTACATTATCAATGGATAAAATACCGATAATGCAACACCTGGGTTACTTGGATCTAGTTACCTTAGCTCAAAAAGAAAAAATGAGAAGAGATGTGTTGTTTACACTCAGTCAACCAGGTGGTCATCCGTACAACTGGAATTGTGTAGTAGAAAAATGCACAAATCTTCTTAAGAAATTTTCATCCGATCTCAATGGTATAATGATAAAACCTCAAGACCAACCATTCTGCTATGGTACAAGTGTATTGAAAGGAACGATTGCACCTGCTCGACAAAAGGATTATGCATATCACATGCGGAAATTAATACCCGACATAGCACCAACGATAGTAGCAGAAACAGATACAAAGGAAGCTCCTTATAGCGGTTCATCTGTTCAAAAGTTCATTAAACAAAAACGAGATGCTTTTGTAATCTATTTGTTTTCCAAGCCACTTATTAATTACATCTTTGGCGAACAAGATGATAATAAAATTCGTTATGTTTTACTCAATGGACAACCGGTTATTTGGGCTGCCGAGGCTATTTCATCTTTAACGGTGTTTTCGTTGAGCGAAGATTCTTACGGCATTGTACAAAAAGATGTACCAATCATCATCAATAGTCTGTTGTCAGTGAAACAGGCTCTGGATAAACTGCAAAAGTCAACTATATTAGTAAGGAAAGTGCAAATGGACGATAAATTGAGTAGGGAAATTTTTGCCTCTTTACGAAGTGCGATCAAGCGTAGTCTGTATAGAATTGTTACAAACTTTGAACCATATATTAATGATTTATCACTTGAACCTATGATAATAGAACAACTGCAAAGCTTTCTTAATTACAGGGAATAGTTTGGAAATAATAATAATATGGCAAAGTGTTCTTATATCAAATGATAGACGTGCCAAAAAAAAAAAACGCTCGTCAAGTTGCATGAAAGAGAGATTACTTCTTACTAATGACAACTTTCTACTTCAAATTACACATTTACATACATTAAACACAAATCATATTTTATACTTTAATATTCACGAGAGAAAATAAAACATTGTATTAAAAAGAAAAAAGATATGCTTAAAAATATCTGTATTGAAATGTGATGTTGAAGAAATTTTAGTTTATTAAGGTATTTATATGAAAAGAGAAATGCGACGGCAAAAGTATCACGATGTTTCCAGTATCAATTTATAATATATATTTTTTTGAATAAGCGAATAAATCGATTTTTTTTCGACAAACCTAAAAATCTGTACTATATGTTAATTTAAACGTTGATATAATTATATATTAATTATTGTGTAATAATTTTTAAAAAATCTATAAAAAAATGTTTATTTAATTAAAGATATTTACACACGCAATAATTATAACAGTTGATTGACACGTTACATTTTTTTGAAATTTTGTACAACACTTAGATTATAAAATAATTTCTCTCGTAACGTAAGCCAATTTCTTGTTTGTGCCTTTTGGATTTTTCGCAGGTAATTTCGTAGCGTCTTGTTTTTCGATATTGCTGTAGCATGCCACTTTAGAAATACTGCCAGGTATGCTTGCGATAATTCGAAATCCGTTTGTCGTTCCATCATGTAATGAAGCATCTTCATAAACTGCAGTATCAACGACTCGGCTGTACTCTCGTTCAAAGACAACGATTGAATCTCGAAATCGATGTCACTAGGGCCCATCGCCTTTAATTTTTCAATTACGAGCGAAAAATCATTAGTTGTAGATTGCAGATATTTGCCGAATGACGTAAGACTTTGTAAGGCGGAATGAATATGCGTTTCAGTGTTCTCGGTAGTTTTAACATCCGAGAAATCAAAACGCAGTTGCAATGACGGAATTGTGGGTAAGAAGAACGGCGCGGCCTCGAGAGTTTTGGGCGGCTGTTTCGGTTTGTTTCTCTTTTTAATGATGTCAATGTCGAGCAGATTTTGCCATCTCGATTGAGCCACGGCGGACATGGTAATGAGATCATCATCAAGCTGATCGGGAGACACATAATCTGGCTCTGCGGCAATAACATCGTCCTCGTCACCTTTCTCGATTTCTACAGAAGAGCCAGGAAGTCCCATTTCGGGTATCGTGTCGTCTTTAGTAATGGCCTTTAATGAAACGTGCGAGTAGAGCAAACGATTCGACCATAAGAAGATTCCTACATTGCGTACATGCGCGGTCGCGAGAAATTCTCCCGTCGGAGAAAAGTTTAAGGATATACAAGCTTCAGGGACCTGAAAATGCAAAGTATATTATTAACATATTTTCTAATGCATTTCCTTCCAAGTCGAATAACAATCGTGAATAATCAAGAATCGTGAAGCAATGACTATAGAAATGAAAATCTTTTAAATGCCTTTACGATGTATTTTACATGTTGTGTTGTATAAGAGACAAAATAGATATTTGAAAGAAAATTATAAAAAGTATTTGAAAAAGAAAAAATATTAAACTTGAGGTAACTTTTAGATGCTTTTTAGGTGAATTTAGTGCCACACAAATTGCGTATGTGACATTATATTATACTTTTGTCTATGGTGAAATTTGAAATGTATACAATTCTAAGATTGCTTACCTGAAAGATATCTATTAAATGCGAAGATGGTATGTCCCAAGTGCGTATCGTGCAATCCATAGATGCTGTGATTAACCACCTAGAGTCAGGACTGAAACATGCGTCCGTTACTCGTCCCTCGTGCCCTTGAAAGTGCCGAACTATTCTTCTTGTATCCACATCCATCAATACAATATCGAAATTTTCTAAAGCTATAGCCACGAGAGAACTCTCATTATGGTGTCGTATCCATTCGACCGATTCTTCCAGTGTCAATATCGTTCTTGCCGTTGTTATACCTGAGATGATGGTTACATTGCAGCATATTCAAACAAAGAAAATTTAACTTTTAAGTACAAAATCTTTCTTACCTTTTCTAGGTTTAAAATCCCAAAACTTGATTGTAGCGTCTCTGCCAGCAGTGATAAGAGTTTGATTCAAATCGTCAACCATGACCCCCTTAATCGGACCTTTGTGAGCGCCGCTCTCATCTCCATAGGATGCTCTGTGGATCCCGGATTGAATATTAAATCTATCAACGTGGCCCGTGTTATAACCAATCACAACAAAATTTCCGCATCTTGTTAAGCACAAGCTGGTTGCGCTGGCGTTATAGTTGCCTTTAAATCTCTCAGGCAGTAACTTAAGATCGCCCATTTTTTGTAGATGAGAGGACCATGTGGTGACTACACCCAAGCCGGAATGAGTTGCCGCTATGTTACACCACTCCTTCTCTCGCGTTATTTCAGATGCAAGCTCAGTTATCGGTGGCATTAACAATGGATCGGCGACTGAATGACCTTTCTTTTTCGACGCTTTCCTATTAAATGAGGCTCTTCCCAGACTTTTGTTCAGTATCTCTGTGATGGTGGAGAACAACCGGAGAGAGGAATCGCCACCCGCGGTCAATAGATAATTACCATCGTTTCCGTAAAACCGAGTAATTGTCGGAGGCTCGGCATGACCTTCTCTTATCCTTAAGAGTCTGCCCGCTCCATCAGCCATATCAAATATCCATAGCTTTAAAGAGTTGTCAGAGGAGGATGAAACAAGCAGTGGTTCATTAGGTATATATTTCAGACCTGTGACTGCTGCCTCGTGCGCATTACACAGCTGACTCTCTACCATGCGTTGTTCCAGGTTCCAGAAAACAATTTGGCCACCAAAACTGCCTGTTGCCATAATCGGATGGCCGTCTGTACGAAAGCTGATGGATATCACTGGACCCCAGTCTTGCACTAATTCAAAGATGGTCTCATCGTACTTCAGGTTATGCAAAATAATGCGGCCATCGTTCAAGCCTATAGCAGCCACGTCTATTGCGGGTGCTTGTTCCAACGCTGTCACACTGGTCTGCCATCCTTTGAATGTATAGATCATTTTCATACATTTGATATTCCACAGCTGCAGCTGGCCCTGTTCGCTACCCAGCAAAATCTTATTCAAGTAAGTGTTAGGATGTATCAGTGTGGTTATCTTGAAAACATTATTGCTAAAATTCAATTCCAACAGTAAACTCTCATCCTTGATATTCCACACCTTCAGAGTACTGCTTTTGTCGACAGACAGCAAATGAGCGCCAAATGGTAGCAGAATATGAACCGTACAATCATGGCCCTTGTAAGTATGTTTCAACTCTGTCCCTCGGCGCCACGCGTAAATATTATTCGCGCTCGCCGTGTATACGTGAAACGTGTCCGTAGCCAGACAAGTGATATCGTCGGCGTGCATACCTGACACGCTCAGCAGAGTGAAATGTTTACATCCATAAGTATGGAATTCTTTGCCCACACACGTGACAATGAGATGCTCTTTTCTTCTAAGGATGTATCTCGTGACCAAAGGTATGTGATTACTGATGTATCCAAGAGCACGATTCCGTGCATATATTCTACTCTGCACCATTGTGCACCTCGAGAAAGAAATCCGGACTAGTTCAAATGAGGTTATGATACATAATCACGCTTCTCGTGCGGCAACCGCGCTAGCACGCGGTAGCGACCATATTTGAAATCACAAAATATTATATAGATGGACGTTCGTCGAAAAAAAAATAATGGAGGACGCGATTAGGCGTCCTCTGGCCGTTCAAAAATTCGAGGATATGAGAATCTATGCTTACTACGTCTATGGGTAGATGCAGATGATCTATGGACAATCACTCAACTGTTGTTTTCCAATGTTTTCTAAACTGTTTCTGTGAACGTTATAATTGTTTGTTATGCAGAGTTTGTAAGATGTATTTATTTATTATGCATTTATTAATTAGTCATGCTAAAACAATATTTTATCTAGTTTATTAATTAAATTCTGAATTTGATCCAATTATTTTGTGGTGGACAAAAAAGTTAACATTTTTAATACTGACAAGAACAGCGTTTTTCGGGAAACTAATGTATGTAATTGAATTTAAATAAACGCTTCGTCATATTGTATGCGATAAGAAATATCAAAATATTAAAAAAAGACTATGCCCTAGAACTAATCAGATTTGGATAAATCGAGTGAGTAACGGCATCAATTTTTGGTATTACTCAAGAATCGAGAAATCAATTATAAAGCAAAATATTGGGAAAGTGCACTATAGAAAGTGGAGTAGTTTTAATACTTACTTTGATATGGCAAACACCGGTTTATTAGTTTTAACAAATCCTGCAAGAGTGAAAAAATTATTACCTGTAATTAAGAACCATGTTCTGAAGACATTATATATTCAATATCTACCGGAAAAGAATATTTTTGCAGGAAATTATAATATAGCAATGTCGCAACGAAGAAGTCCTCAGTATGCTAAGAATGTTGTAGATATATACATGAATACTTCTACAATTGCTTCCCGACTTGATATTCGTGTTTTACTCACCAATATGAAACATTCTGGAAAGACCATTATAAAGACTCAAAAACCTGTGGAGATAGTGATCTTTGATCAATTGTGCAGTAAGAAAGAAGCAGATGTATTTATACAAGATTGTTTAGCCAATATGTCAATGGATTACAGTTTTATCACTTGTGACGATGATCAAGATCAGATTAATAACAAAGATGCAGAATATACTACTCAAGATGTAAGAACTTACAAGAATGTAGTACTAGGTGGCACGTTTGATCGATTGCATAATGGTCACAAAATTTTATTAAGCGAAGCTGTTTTACGTTGTACAGGAAAACTTACTGTTGGTGTAACAGATACCAATATGATTTCTGGTATAATAATTTTTTACTATTTATATTATTTAATCAGATTTTTTATTTAAGTTTACAATAATGATACCTTTAAATGACTCACAGATAAAAGATTGAGATAATTTAGTCGAATATTTTTGTATGACATAATGAAAACCAATCATTTTTAGGTAAATTATTGTGGGAGCTTATACAACCGTGTAATCAAAGAATAAGTAATGTTAAAGAGTTTTTGGAAGATATAGATTCATCAATAACATACGATGTTGTTCCTATCACTGATATGTATGGACCTACCAAAGAAGATCCTTCACTTGAAATGATGGTTGTGAGTGAAGAAACAAAGCGCGGAGGTGACAAAATCAATCAATTACGTTCACAAAAAAATTTAAGTGCATTGGATATTTGTGTGGTAGAATTAGCAGCTGATGAATGTCATAACGAATATGAAGAAGCTAAAATTAGTTCTAGTAATCATAGAATACGATTACTTGGCACAAGGCTTCGAGCTCCTGTACGTGTTTACAGTATAGTATATAATAAATTATCAATATTGCGATACTGGAAACTTTCTTTAGAACATATTTGAACATATGAGAATATATGGAAATTGATAAATTAATAATATTAATTAATAATTTTTCATTGTTTTGTTAGAGAATAAATGATAAGGCTCTAAAACCATATATTATTGGTTTAACGGGTGGCATTGCAAGTGGAAAATCTTCAGTTGCTGAAAAATTACAAAATCTCGGTGCTGGTCTTGTAAATTGTGATAAAATAGCTCATGATTTATATTTACCCGGAAAAGATTGTTTTCATGCAATAATTGAACATTTTGGCTCTTCTATTCTAACTTCAGACGGGTTTATAGATAGAAAGCTACTCGGTGATATAGTGTTTAATAATAAAGTGTGTATATATAATAATTTTATATTCTACATATTCAACATATCTATTATTGTCTACGATTTCTATTCTAATAAAATTTATATACTATAGGAACAGTTGGAAAAACTAAATAAATTAATTTGGCCTTTAATTTTGCGGGAAGCTAAAAAAGAAATAGATGTTCTTTATGCAAAGAATAATGACATAATTGTAATGGAAGCAGCAGTTTTGATTCAAGCTAAGTGGCAGGATGTATGTCATGAAATTTGGACTTGTATTATTCCGCAAAATGAGGTAAGTTCTTTACTTACAAGATACATTTTTTTTGTCCATTTATTTAATATCTATCTTATTTTATTTGTACTCAATATAGGTAACTGTTTATGTAACATTAATTTCTTATTAACTTGTGTTAAATTTACAGGCTATAAAACGTATAATGAATAGAAATCAATTATCTGAGGAAGCAGCTAAGCTGCGAATTGAAATACAACCGAGTAATACAGAACAGATTAAAGAAGCTAATGTTGTCATATGCACTTTGTGGACTCATGAAATTACACTAGAACAAGTAGAAAAAGCATGGAAAGAACTAACAACAGCTTTATCTCAAAAAACTATAAAATCTTCTATTTAATAAATTTTCTATGTACACAAGGCTAAGATCCTTGATTAAAATTAAGTAAAAATTTAACTTCTATTTGTAAATAATATTCAACTGTTATTCTGTGATACAATTTATAAACAGAAAGTGTGATAAGAGAAATATTGGGAATAATCGGGTATATTCTTACATTTATAATAGATACAATGTAGTTGCAGATATTAATTAATAACAAAGAATATTGTTTTCTTATTTATACAATTCCTTAAAAGATAAATATATTATTTAGCAAATAATATATTGTCACTTAATATCAGTTTTTCTTCTTTATCATCGTGCATTTTTCTTATTAGGGCACTTAGAAACAGTTGAAAATCAGCTTTTAATTGATCCCCATTATTATCCACGTTGCACTTGACATGAGAGACATGAGAGAAGCTAGATGCTTTAATTATATTGCAAAATATAAAATTTAAGGATTAATTAGTAAGTTGTATGACTTTAATTTTATACTTTTTAGAAAATTGAAAAGAAATCATTAATATATATTTTTAAATTAAATTTAAAAATTAAATCTCTTGATATACATTATTACTACTCAAGTACTTACAAATAATTTTTGACGTACTCGATGTAGCGTTATCAGGATCAAAGTAAAATATTACACAACTATTTGGCCCTAATTTGGGGCCGTTAACAAAATAATCGTAAAATTCTTTCAGCTCTTTCAAAGAATTTTGCCTTTTTGCGCTATATACAAGTATTATGCCGTGTACGTCTTTACGCATTGCTGGCCAACAATTTTTGAATCTGTGAAACATGTGTTATGAGTATCCTATCTTTCTGAATATTTAAAATATTGAACAATGTCTTTCTTTCATTTGAAATCTAGATTTGCGAAAAAATATATACTGTACTATACTTGTGATTTCCACTGCAATCCCATAGTTCGATATCTCTCGAAACGCGTTCATTATTCACTTCGATGTCATCCGTTTCAAACTCCAATATCCGAACTCCTTGAGTTGGATGATAATCATATGGAATTTCCGTAGCATCTGCCAAAAAATTTGCTATCGTGGTCTTTCCGCTCTAAATACACAAAATGTGTGACCATTGCTTTAGTCGATGTATCATTGAAATAATCTGATAATAAAGTATCCTACATCTCTTTCTCTCTCTCTCTCTCTCTCTCTCTTTCTCTTTGAAATAATTGTATGAATATTTAATAGGGAATCTTACCTCAGTCGGTCCTATTATTACCAATTTTAATGTGCGCATTATTTGATAATAGCTGTCGTAAGAATACTATTATACCTAACATGAGTACGTAACAATACAAAACACTTTATTGTTTGGTACTAATTGTTGCTATAGCGACTGTGTTGTCTCGACACATTACGCACAATCAACCTTGTCGGAAAAGCTATCGCAAGTAGGTACATGAGATTCGAATTTTAAACAATTTGAAATTACTTATATCCGTTATAAAATTCACACTAGTATGTGACAGTTTTAAAATTTATGTATGTAAGTATAAGTCGAAGTAAAAATAACGAGTATAACGAGCTTGGCATATCAATTCTAAAAGAAGGACTATAAGCTGTTGCTTTTTAATCTGCATTTATTTCGATATTATGATGTTTTACAAACAAGTTCCACTTGGACATAATAAAGTGTTTGAAAATACTACATCATCAAATAAGTACCAAAAAAATGAATGTGCATTTGTAAAGAGTTATGACTTTATTACGAATACACTAATATTCACTCATTACAATACCGTTTTCTTAACAATATGTCTATATTTAACAATATGTAATACACAGCAGTTATGTGATTACTGACATTAATATTATTACAGTAAACACATTAATATCGTTACAGTAAACACATGATTATAATAAAAATTACAATTACAACTACAAAGTTATTGCATCGTAAAGTATACTCTGTTTGATAAGAGAATAATAATCTTGGTCTACGTAACTTTATAGTAAAGTAGAAGAAAAATAGCAGTTATATGCGTTATTTATTAAACAGCATATACGTGGACATAAATGCATCGACATTGGCATTACAGTCGATGTTACTGTTTGTTTACTGTCCTAAGAAAAAATCTGACAGATGGGTGAACAGCAAGGAAAAGTTAGTGGACATCAACTATGAAAATCATTTCGAAAATATAACTCCAAATACTGATCTATATCACTCTCTTATGGAGCAGAGTATATACCTTGCTATTTGTGAAATAAACTGCTTGTGGTCAAGTTTCTTTGCATTCTAAATAAAAATATTAAAATATGTCTTGGTTGGTTTAAATTTATCAATCTGTACATAGAGTGTATTTCTCTAGCTTTTCTCTTCTTTCTTTATCACCACTGACACTCGGATATAATGTTTTACACATTTGTTTAAGATTACCTGTACTTAGCAACTAACATCTCGATTGTTAGCATTAGCGATAAATTTTCTAATATTTAAGAATCTAATATTTTAGAAAAAGCTAAAATATTGAAATATACTATCGATAGACAATGATATGAAACGAGCTACGAATGCATTTATAAAATTCTCAATTGAATGGTGGAAAAATATAACTACATTATATCTCGTAGAGTACATATACATTAATATGTAGTATAAGATATATTATATACATAATAAAAACGGGTAATACATACATTGAAAAATTGAATAATGTCTAATTTATTACGACACTTTTTTCGATTGAATAAAGTGCACACCAATTTTTTTAAAATAATTATATTGTGCTTGCGCAAAAATAGAACTTGCAAAGCATTATATCTGAGCATCAGCAGTGACAATGTCGAAACAAGCTAAGCAAATGCATTCTATATATGGTTTGATGAATTTTATAGGTATTTTAATCGTGCAATTTTATATTGGTAATTTATATGGTAATGAGTATATAAAACTTTTTTAATTCTATCGAAAT